CCAAAACTTGAATAAGATTTATGCTGTAGTTTTACATTAGCATTTATCATCTCTCTTCATGGAACAAATTGGGATGCATAGCTTATTCCAAAGATCAAAACACTGGTCTAGAAATAAGACATTGAAATTTAATGGAGAAATCCTGCGTGGTGATGAAAACCCCATCTTAATCAGTGTCCTTGTTAGGGTTTCTATTGCTATAAAGAGACACCATGACCACCACAACTCTTATAAAGGAAAACTTTCATTGAAGTGGCAGCTTACAGTTTCAGAGGTTCAGTCCATTTTCATCATGGTGGAACATGGCGGCATGCAGGCAGACGTGATGCTGGAGAGGTGGCTGATGATATTCAAACTACCACAATCAAGAAATGAGGAAATGAGTTTATATGGTCAAGAGCTTGATGATCAGACGATGTGCTGATGCTTAAAAGCTCAGTTCAGGCCAGTTCAGGAAGCACAAAATTTTCCCTTCATGCTACTCTCCACACGTCATGTATTATATGTGTGTTTTTTTTTTCAACTTCTCTGATACGAGGAATGCGTACATTTAACTCAGCAAGTGATACAGATTCGGAAATACTTGAGTAAAATGGGACTAGTCATCCTGACATTTGGTTGATGGAAAGTGTTCCTTGGAGCATCATAAAGAACAAAATATGAGGAGTAGAGAGATGGCTCAATGGTTAAGAGCACTGCCTGCTCTCCAGAGGACCTGGGTTCAATTCCCAGCACCTACATGGCAGCTTGCAACTCTGTGTAACTCCAGTTCCAGGGGATCTGACACCCTCAACACAGACATACCTGCAGGCAGAACTCCAGTGCACATAAAAATAAATAAATCTTTAAAAGAAGTCTAAAAAGAACAAAATATGATTTATTTCATCATCCGAGTTATTTTGAAATGCTATAGGAAGACTTGGTAGAGTTTCTATTTTTAAATCGGATTCTTCAGTAGAGGCTACTGATATTTCACCCAAGTGTGATTTAGGAACATGTTTCCCCAGGGTGGTCACTTGGATACAGCCCAGTTTACAGCACTTTGAAAGTCTGGTTTATGACAAAGGAAGACTTTGGAGCAGGGCTTCTCCAGGTGTCAGCCAGGGCCTGCACACACTGCCAGCCTCCTGTTCCTGGGCTCTCCAGTAGGTGACATAGAAGCTGAGACTATGAAAGAGACTGAGCAACTGCTTTCAGGCCACTGCTGTGACAGTTTCATTATTTCTAACAATTTGCTTTGTGTGTGCTTGTGTGTGCCACGGTGCACACCTGTGCGGGTCAGAGCACAGTCTGCAGGAGTTGGCGATCTCCTTCTACCACAGGGTCTCAAGACTCAAACTCCGGTCATCAGGCTTGACCTGTGGGAAGAACTTATGTCCACTGAATCATCTCACTGGACCCTTTTTTTTTTTAGACTTTACAAGATTACAGGCAATAATAGATTGAAACTTAAAAACAAACAAACCCAAAACTCAAGTTCTTCCCTGAGGTGGCTTGAAAAGCACTCACTGTTCAGAGTGCCTAATAATGAGTGAACTGCACACTCCTCAGAAAACATCTATAGTGATTTTTTTCTTAGTTATTTTTTTTCCTTTAGCTTTTAAAATTTGTTGAGGATCAGAGTCCAAAATTATACTCCCTAAAATGACCTGGATTATTACTCTGTTCTTACCACCATAAAGCTTTAGCTATGAACCCTGGGCAGATCCATGAGCATTAATGGGCAGATCATGTATAGCAATGGGCAGATCCATGTGCAGTAGTGGGGTATGCATTAGTGGGCAGATCCGTGTGCATTAATGGGCAAATCATGTATAGCAGTGTGCAGATCCATGTGCATTAGTGGGCAGATCTGTGTGCATTAATAGGCAGATCTGTGTGCATTAGTGGGCAGAGTCATGTGCATTAATGGGCAGATCTGTGTGCATTAGTGGGCAGATCTGTGTGCATTAGTGGGCAGAGCCGTGTGCATTAATGGGCAGATTTGTGTGCATTAGTGGGCAGAGCCGTGTGCATTAGTGGGCAGAGCCGTGTGCATTAGTGGGCAGAGCCGTATGCATTAGTGGGCAGAGCCGTGTGCATTAATGGGCAGATATGCTGTGTTAGGATCTGAGCTGTGCCCTTGAGGCTCCCATGTCTCCATTCAGGGAAGACAAAAGCACCCCTGCCCAGGGTACAAGCCCCCCACAGAGTACTGGCATACTCATTACCTGGACTCAGTATTATAGCCTGCAAATTCTCATGTAAGATCCGACCACCCCTTTCCTTAGCCCTTAAGAACCCTCAGTTTGTATCTCTAGTTCAGTAGTGCCACTTCCTGACAGAACTCCAGGCTAAGCTGGTTGCAAACCTTATAACCAAGGTAAACTGGGTCATGCTGTAAACATAAAGCTCTGAAATTAGAAACCAGTTTTCTGACATAGTACCTTTGGCTTTAGAATAATTACTCTGTATACATCCTTCCAGGCAGCAGTGAAGTGTTGGGGTGATGACATCTACTTACTCCAGTAGGTCTCAAATAGCCCCATAAGGTAGATTCTATTACACCCACCTTTTCTGATAAAGACACATAGGCTCAAAATACTTGACTAACTCCTCCAAGATCACTTGGCTAATAATGACATACCTGAGCTCTGTCAGCAGCTTCCCAACTTCAAGCCATGGCCTTACCCACTGTAGTATTCCTGGCTGCCTGTCTCTCTAGTAGGAAATATTCCTGTGCCTCATTATTACCCAGTCATTGACATTTGAACAGAGATGAGCTAGAGCAGACCCTTGTCAAACAGAGCCGAATTGGCACACACCCTTTATCACACGGCCACTGTACATCTGAAGGCGTTCTGAGCGCCGACTCCTATTCCAAGCAGCCTGTTGGCAACATTTGGATAAACTGGAGCACATCCAGAGGCAGGAAAGTAAGTAGGGAACGGTCCTGAGAACCCTGTCCTGAGAAAGCGTGTAAAGGGTCCTGATTTCCTCAGTTTACAGGGAAGCTGAAGACAGCATGTAGTGGATTGGAAGGTTTGCTTGTTTAAAAAAAAAGAAAGAAAGAAAGAAAAGGTTAGCCTTGCTGTGTGTGTGTGTGTAGTGTCAGAAGGGAAAGCAGGGAAGGCCTGGGTGTGAGAACCAGCAGCTCTGGCTCAGCCTGTCCCTTGGTAAAATTGCTTTTTTAAAGGAAACACTGCAGTTTGTAGGGAGCATGCTGAAAGTGTTGTATATAATCTCATGACCTTCACAGCAACCCAGTGGGAATGTGTCTACTCACATGCCAAAGCACCAAGGTTTGGAAAAATTGAAGTGGTATATGCTGGAGTCAGAATCTGAACCCATTCTGTGGCAAAGAGCCTGGCTGTCTTCCCTGGGGGGTCCTGCAGGAGTCACCTGCCTTGTGCTAAACAGTTTAAGCAGAAAATGATAATCAAATATGCAGACACACCCTATTGAAGGAGTTCTAGGCAGAGGCTTCTTAGATCCCTTAAAATTCTAGCATCTCCTTCAGAGAAGCACCCTGCTGAGAAGGTGGGTTCACCTTTCCTCAGCCTTGACCCCGAAGCAGCAGCAGCAGCAGCAGCAGCAGCAGCGTTTACACGGACTTCCTCAGTGCTTTCCTTTAGCCTGAAGGAAAGAACACATTCTGCTGTAACACTCACTAGAGATCAGCATTCTCACATTTCCTAAGGAACCACGAGTCTTCAATGGTGTAAGAGTATCCATGTGACCCACACCATAGGTATTAGAGACAATGGCTAGTTAGACCCAGAGAATACCTCTTACTAAGCAGCTAATCGACTGTAACAAAGTTGGAATAAAAAATTTTAAATTAGACTCATGTGACAGTAATGCCTTTATCTCAGTACTTCTCAAAATTTTCTCCTAAAGGGTATCTGATGGCCAGAGAGAAAGGATGTCTTATGTTTTGGCTACTCTAGACAGCATTTCAGGAGAGGCTTCCACCATTGTGGGCGTCTCTGACTTCATAGTGCTTTTCCTGCCAGTTCACACAAATGTTGGATTTAACTGAATTAATCTGTTTGAACATAAAAACAAAGTTTTACCATACCCACTAGCATGAGAAATTAAGCTGATGCTTTGGTCCCCAGTCTGCAAGAGAGCCTGGTCTCTGGGGGAAATTTGGTGGTTACAAATGCTTCTATTAAGGGTTTCCTCCTCATAAGGGAAAGATTTTTCCAATGGAGCTGAAAGGACGTGGGAATTTTTATCAATCAAGGACACGCATGCTTGTTAAGTCTGAGAGGAGATTACATTTATTTTTCTTTCCTCTAACATTAATTTTTTTCTACAGATGCTTGTGTGGAGTCTCAACATTACACAGATTGATGAAATAGGATAAGAAAAAGTTACTCAAAAGAGTAGACTGATTCTTTTTGATATTTGAGCATTATTGGAAGTTACAGAGCATGGCAGGAATGCTGTGCACATGTTAAGAAGGGCCCCTGCTTGGCTAGCACACCATTCAGAGGAAGGTTCTACTTCGCATGTTTTTAACATTTCTGTAGCTTTTGAACTTGAAATAATGCTGTAAATAAATAGTGTCATGGGCACACAGGGGAGTCCTGTTTTTTTAAAATCGCTATGTCTTATTGTGTGGCAGTGTGGAAATGTACGACTCACTGAATCTATTTTGTTGTTTAGGAGAGAAGCCATATGAATGCCCAAACTGCAAGAAACGTTTTTCCCATTCTGGTTCCTATAGCTCACACATAAGCAGTAAGAAGTGTATTAGCTTGATGCCTGTGAATGGGAGGCCCAGATCAGGACTCAAGACATCGCAGTGTTCCTCGCCATCTCTTTCGGCATCGCCAGGCAGCCCCACACGCCCACAGCTACGACAGAAGATAGAGAATAAACCCCTTCAAGAACCGCTTTCTGTAAACCAAATCAAAACTGAACCTGTGGATTATGAGTTCAAACCCATAGTGGTTGCTTCAGGAATCAACTGTTCAACCCCTTTACAAAACGGGGTTTTCAGCGGTGGTGGCCAATTGCAGGCAACCAGTTCTCCTCAGGGCGTGGTGCAAGCTGTTGTTCTGCCGACGGTTGGTCTGGTGTCTCCCATAAGTATCAATCTAAGTGACATTCAGAATGTACTTAAAGTGGCGGTAGACGGTAACGTAATACGGCAAGTTTTGGAGAATAATCAAGCCAGTCTTGCATCCAAAGAGCAAGAAGCAGCCAGTGCTTCATCCATCCAACAGGGTGGCCACTCTGTTATTTCTGCCATCAGTCTTCCTTTAGTTGATCAAGATGGAACAACCAAAATTATCATCAACTACAGTCTTGAGCAGCCTAGCCAACTTCAGGTTGTTCCTCAGAATTTAAAGAAAGAAAACCCAGCCCCAACAAACAGCTGCAAAAGTGAGAAGTTACCAGAAGATCTTACTGTTAAATCAGAGAAGGACAAAAGCTTTGATGGGGCTGTGGATGATAGCACTTGCCTTCTGTGTGACGATTGCCCAGGAGACCTCAATGCACTTCCAGAACTAAAGCACTATAACCCAGAGCACCCTGCCCAGCCTCCACCCCCTGCCCCAGAAGCCGAGAAGCCAGAGTCCTCTGCTTCATCAGCCAGAGATGGCGACTTGTCTCCCAGCCAGCCACCTTTAAAGAACCTCCTGTCTCTCTTAAAAGCCTACTACGCTCTGAACGCGCAGCCTAGCGCAGACGAGCTCTCAAAGATCGCCGATTCTGTGAACTTACCACTAGATGTAGTTAAAAAGTGGTTTGAAAAGATGCAAGCTGGACAGATTCCGGGCCAGTCTCCTGAACCACCTTCTCCAGAAAAAGGCACGGTCAACATCCCTGCAAAGAACGATGAACAGCCTCAACCTGCAGATGGAAGTGAGCCCCAAGAAGACAGCACAAGTGGACAGAGTCCTCTCAAGATGACTAGCTCCCCAGTTTTGCCAGTAGGATCAGCCATTAATGGTTCCAGAAGTTGCACATCATCCCCTTCACCTCTCAACCTTTCCTCGGCCAGGAACCTGCAGGGTTACTCTTGCGTGGCAGACGGTGCCCAGGAGGAGCCCCAAGTAGAACCTCTCGACCTCTCACTACCAAAGCAACAGGGAGAGTTACTGGAAAGGTCGACTATCAGTAGTGTTTACCAGAACAGTGTTTATTCTGTCCAGGAAGAACCCTTGAACTTGTCTTGTGCAAAAAAGGAGCCACAAAAGGACAGCTGTGTTACAGACTCAGAACCAGTTGTAAATGTAATCCCACCAAGTGCCAATCCCATAAATATTGCTATTCCTACAGTCACTGCCCAGTTACCCACAATCGTGGCCATTGCCGACCAGAACAGTGTTCCCTGCTTACGTGCACTCGCTGCCAACAAGCAGACTATTCTGATTCCCCAGGTGGCTTATACATACTCCGCTACAGTCGGCCCTGCAATGCAGGAACCACCGGTGAAGGTAATCCAGCCAAACGGAAACCAGGTTAGTAAAGTACTAGCTAACTTTTTTTAGTGAAGTAACCTCCATCTACTGTAGAGTTAACCAGATTGGTACAACTGTTATGTTTAAAAGGAACTTAACCAGTTTGCTTCCCTTGTGTGGCAGGATGCCTTCCTTTGCCTACTAATCTGAGGTGGAGGCATCAGCTACAGTTTAAAGTGTATTCTCCTCTGAAAAATAGTGCGTACACTTCAGCTGGAGACATACTTGAACTTAGAAGCTTAAGAGAAAAGTTGTAATACTCATTAATTAGGTTTCTGGTTTTCTAGTTGACTTCTCAAATTGGTAAGTTTCTACTTTGCTTATGATCATTAAGTAAACAATTGTGTTCCCATCTACCATAAAACACCAGGAAGGCTTTGCTGGTGCAGCGTGTGCCAACGCCTTTGTTAGGAGGTTTTAATGAAACAGAGTATGCTGGGAACTTAGCTCATGCATTTGTGGGTTGTGAATTGAGTGTTTGGTCATAATTATGGTGGGGTACGGCTGCAGGCCCGGGTGTGCATTCCCCTCTTTAGAGGGGTTTTGCTTTGCCTGCTTGGTTTTGGTTTTGGATAGAACTCTGCTGTATGGCTGTATGTTTCTCGAAGTCTGTCCAGTCATGTCACTACCTTGATGTCACCACTTTTTCATCAGTTTCTTTAACTGAATCAGATACCAGAGGTGGCTGTCTGATCTTACAAGTACAGCTGCACTTACTTCCAGATCCTGCTCAGATGCGCCCTGCTATCTGCGGTGCCCTTCAGTGCTGCTGCCCTTGGGCTTCCCCAGACTGTAGTAACTCCTGAAGAAAGTGTCCACGTGACCAATGACACTAGATTGCTGGTGTACAAAACACTAGTGTGTGTGTGTGTGTGTGTGTGTGTAATGTATACTTCTGTATGTACAGGTGTGTCTACCCATGAGTGTGCATGTAAAGGCCAGGGGTTGACAATGACTGTCTTCCTCAGTCACTCTAATGTTTGAGACAGGTTCTCTCACTGCACCTGGAGCCTACCATTTTGTCTAGACTGGCTAGCAGTGAGTCTCCACTGTCTGCTTGTCTACACACATTCACATGTACCCCAGTGCTGGAATTACAGATGAGCGTCACACATGCCTGGCTTTTACATGTGTGCTGGGATCTGAACTCAAGTCCTTATGCTCGTATAGCCAGCATCTTCCCACTTGGCCGTCTTCCAGCCCTTCTTGACACGTTGGAATCGAAAGGAAACGGAGCTTTGACCATTTCAGATGACTGTTTGATATGTCAGGGAGCTGTGGAGGGGACTCACTTCCGCACCAGCAGCCACAGTGACAGGCAGAGGGCTGTTTTCAGGACATCAGTGGGTTGAGGCAGCACTCTGGGAGACTCTAGGAAAAACACAAATCTTAGCTGACCTAAGTCTGCAACAGGCTCTCTGCAGGATTAGTCCATTGAGAAGAGCGCCTTCCTCCTCAAATGGCTTCCCTGAAACTGTCTGTGGTACTATGTTGTCTTTTGTTCATTCTAGGAGAATTGTAAGGGTTCTTTTTGACAGGCGGCTACTACTGTTTAAGAATCACAGACCTTCTCACACTGCTCCTCCTCATTCCAGAGGAAATGTGAACTAAAGAAACCTGTCTTTGTCAGACCAAGACAGCTGGTGCGAACCCCCAGAGTGGAGGGCACAGTTTAAAGACATTTTCTAAACACTGTGTCTTAATATTTACTTAGTGAATCCCAGAATCTTTTATGAAAAGTGTGGTAAATGATGAAGTTGTAAATGAATGATGAATTAGCAAGCTCAGTGATTAAACCTTTCTGCAAAATTGCTGTCAATTCATAATTTGTCAGAACCAAGTAACTGTGGCTGCCGTCCCTCTTACCAATAAAGAAATGTTTTCACCATGATTTTTCCTGTGCTGTCCCCAGCCCCACTTCTGTCTCCCAGTGACCCGGGAGCCCATCTGTCTTGTCACTATAGTGTCCTTCTCGTGGTCAGCGTGAGGGAAGCCGCCCTCTAACATGAGGCTCACCTCCCGTGCATTATCTGATTTTCCTACACTTATTTATTTATGGACAGTGGGGGGCGAAGCTTCACATGCCTCTACTCAGACATGGCGGTCAGAGGACACCTGTGGAAGCCAGTTCTCTCCTCCCACCTTGTGGATCCCAGGGATCCAACTTGGGTCCTCAGCCTTGGTGGCAAGTGCCTTTACCTACTGAGCCATCTCACTGACCCTATCTCTTGTGTGTCTTTTCATTTGAAATTTAATCTTTTTCCCCCTCAGGATGAAAGGCAAGACACTAGCTCAGAAGGAGTCTCCACCGTGGAGGACCAGAACGACTCTGACTCTACACCACCCAAAAAGAAAACTCGGAAGACAGAGAACGGAATGTATGCATGTGACCTGTGTGACAAGATATTTCAGAAGAGCAGCTCACTGTTGAGACACAAATATGAACACACAGGTATGTCAGTGGACACGAGCACAAGGTTCAGTTCAGCTTCTGCCATGGTAACTGTGGGGACAGTGGGCTGAGGTGACGGGAAGAGGGCCCAGCTTCAGGAGGCAACTGTTCCGGGAGTGCCAGCCATCCTGGCTAAAGGCTTGCCTTCTGACCACCTGAAGGTTTTTAAATTAAGACCTTTGCTTTTTAGAAAGAACTTCTGCATGAGAGGCTGAACTTGATTTTAAGATCCCTTCAGCTCTGAGATTCTGTAATTCTGCACAAAATACCCAAGCCCTGGGCTCGTCTAGGGACTGGCAAATAGTGTCTTACAGATAACACAAGGCTCCACTCATCTCTCTAATGCCTGTGAGCCAAGAACGGACTTTTCGTTTCTAGTGATTAAAGAAGATAAAAGGTAAAAATCGAAAGCCAGCATCTTAGCTGATGGTTCATCTCTCTCAGTCACACCCTAACTTGCTTGTTGCCCAAGGATGCTTTTCTGCTCCGGCCAACGATAAATTTGAGTGATTGCAGTTGGTACAAAGGCCAGCCAATCCCAAGACCCTTCCCTAAAGGGCTTTTACAGAAAACCCTTGCCAGTCTGACCTTCCCAGTTCCCTCTCTCCAGAGCCACCCTGGTCAATTTCAGTACGTGTATCTGCAGCCCAGGAATCCCGTTAGGACGTATGTGCAGACCCCTGTGGCCCGAGAACTCCCTCCATGACTGACCTCCAGCTTGAATTGCTTTCAGAAAACTCACAGAATTCTGATATAAACTATCAGACTCCTAGCTGATAAAAGCTGCACAGCCAGCCAGTTTCTCTCCAAGATGGCTGGATGAAGGACTGGTTTAATCTTAAACTCTAATCCCCAGCCTCTTTTCCCTGGCCCTTATCAGCTGTTTTAGCTAGTGTCCACATACATGCCTCTCATGTGCTTATCAATTGTGTTAGCTCATTCACTCTGGTGAGAAGAAACACGGAGACGTGTTCTTTCTTTTTCCATCTGTATGTTGCAGTGTGACTGACACCTTGGCAGTTGTTGGAGCTAAAAGGTAGTACCAGGTAGGAAAACCTGGGCCTTTAACAAGGCCTCGGACCACAGCCTTCTAGTTATTTTCACTGAGAGAATTAGAAAATGTTCTTATTCTTTAAAAAGAGTTAAATACTGGCAAATAGCGAAGTTAAAATTACGTCCTAGCTGTACAAAGAGATAGCCAGTCATTTCTGCATTTTGAAGGGCTGACTGCCTCGTGACATTGGAGTTGTTAAGAGCCAATCCCTGTTAGTCCAGCTGCTGCTGTCCATGTCTGCGGTGATGCTCAAGCTCACGCCCACTCTCCAGGAGCAAGATGGCCCTCTAGGGCAAAAGCCAGTTTCCTGGGGTCAAAGCAATCTTCGGTCATAAGTAAAGAAATATATGAGACATTAAAATACCGTTGGAAACAGGGATTTCCGGCCTCCGGTGCTTGCCACCCATGGCTCATGAGAGCCTCACTTAATGTCCTGCCGTGTGGTCTTGATGAATGTATTTTTGGCATTTCTGCCTTATGTAATTCCCACTGACCTCCTCTACAAATTACAGTGTGTAGCCTTGAATTTTCACATATTAAAGATAAACCATAGTGTTATAAGTGCAGTTGGAGACCTGCTAGTTTCTTAAGCACGAAACTATAATTGTCCCTTTCCACAACCTGAATGTCCCTTAATGCTCACAAGCTCTTTTATTTCTTTATGCCACTGTTTTGTTTCATCTCTGTGTTCTAACCTTACAGGTAAAAGACCTCATGAGTGTGGAATCTGTAAAAAGGCATTTAAACACAAGCATCATTTGATTGAACACATGCGGTTACATTCTGGAGAAAAGCCCTACCAATGTGACAAGTGTGGAAAGCGCTTCTCACACTCGGGATCCTATTCTCAGCACATGAATCACCGCTACTCCTACTGCAAGAGAGAGGCTGAAGAGAGAGACGGAACGGAGCAGGAGCAGGAAGAGGCTGGGCCGGAAGTCCTGATGAATGAGCGTGTTGGTGCCCGGGCGTCTCCCTCCCAGGCTGACTCAGATGAGAGAGAAAGTTTGACAAGGGAAGAGGATGAAGACAGTGAAAAGGAGGAGGAAGAGGAGGAGGAGGATAAAGAGATGGAAGAATTGCAGGAAGAAAAGGAATGTGAAAACCCACAGGGTGAGGAGGAAGAGGGGGAAGAGGAAGAGGAGGAAGAAGAAGAGGAAGTGGATGAAGCTGAGCATGAGGCAGCAGCCAAGACTGACGGTGCAATGGAGGACGGAGCTGCCCAGCAGGCAGGCAGCTTAGAACAGAAGGCGAGCGAGAGGAGCGAGCAGCTGTCGGAAGAGAAGACAAATGAAGCCTAGGAGTTCTAGAAGGAAATTCTACTTGGTAATGAAATTTGCTCTATATTACCCACGCTTTTCATGGAAACACAGCCCCTGTGCTGTGGTTCCTGCTCACTACTGTGTAATGTCAGAACTGAAAAAAACAAAATACAAAAAAAAAAAAAAAAAAAAAAAAAAAAAAAAAAAAAAAAAAATCCGGGTGTGCCTGAACCTCAGACCTAGTAATTTTTCATGCAGTTTTCAAAGTTAGGAACAAGTTTGTAACATGAAGCAGATTAGAAAACTTTAATGACTCAGAGAACAGAGGTTTCTTAGCAGGTTACAGGAAGCTGGATGAGCATCTGGCATGTTATCAGTATTATCACTCTTACGTTGGTTCATTCTTAAGCTGTACAATGGGAGAAATTTTATAATTTTTTATTGGTAAACATATGCTAAATCCGCTTCAGTATTTTATTATGTTTTTTTAAAATGTGAGAACTTCTGCACTACAGAATTCCCTTCACAGAGCAGTAGAAAGCAGTTCCAGCCGTGCTGACTACCTGTTACCAAGTCAGTCAGGAGGTAGGACCTCTACGTTAGACGCCATGTTGTCATTAACATGTATTGCTAGCCTTAAGGAAGCAGCCGAGAGAAGAACTGAAGTTTCTTACTCATGTGATTTGAAATGGAGTTCAAAGGTTGTCGTTGAGTTCTGACTGCAGGGACGAACAGTGTTGGTGAGGACGGCAGAGTCGGCAGAATCAGTGTTGGTGATTGTGTTTGCGTACGTACGTGGGAGCAACTATGAAGGATCTCTAGGAAGCAAGCGTTGGGTCTCTTTTGGCCTTAAGCAAGACCTGTGTGCTGTAAGTGCCATTCCCAGTATTTCAAGGCTCTAACTGCCTTCATTCAGTGTGTGGCCTACAATAACTAGCATTTGTTGATTTGTTTGATGTTTCAAAATTCCCAAATAAAACTCAAAACCACTGACTGTCAGAGAAACTGAAGCACTGGGACATTTCATACTTTGGTTCCTCAGTATTCATTTTACGTTGATTGACTTTCAGAAATCTCTACAGAAACAAAAGGGAAATTCTCTAAACTACTTCATCCATGTACTTGCGTGTCAGACATGGATAAGCCATTGGTAATTTGGCTCACAACCGTTTCCAAATGTTAGTTATTACGGACCCAGTTGATGAACAACATTAGCTGATTTTTACCTATCAGTATTATTTTCTTTCTTTTAGTTTATAGATCTGTGCAACATTTTGTACTGTACGTCTTCAAGCCTGGCAGTATTAATACCCTTCTTACTGACACGTACTTTTAGTTTTAGAAAACTTTTATATTTATGTGTCTTATTTTTATATTTCTTTATTTATTACACAGTGTAGTGTATAATACTGTAGTTTGTATTAATACAATAATATATTTTAGTATGAAATTTTGGAAAGTTGATAAGATTTAAAGTAGAGATGCAATTGGTTCTCGTGCATTGGGATTTGATTTAACAGTGTTCTGTTAACATTTATACTCGCCTTGGGCTGTCGAGCAGAGTTTAAATGGGAATGTATTAGTTTTACAACTACAATCAAGTCATTCTCCCTTTCCCCAGTTTTTAATATGAAACTCTTACACTTTGAAACTCACTGTGTGACTCATAGCATGATGCTCTGCAGTTCTTCTGTTAAGAGTTAGCCCAGCCATAACTCATTCCCTTAGCAAGCCAAATTAGAATTGCCTTCTGTAAACAGTGTTGGGAACAATGTTTAACATGTTGTGCCAATTTGTTCCTGTATCCATGTATGTAAGCTACCGATCCGACTCTTCCTTTTAAGTTCCTTGTTACACCATGGTCATTTTCTAGTTTTTTACCAGACTTCCCAGCTCACAATAAAATGCATCAACAAGCCTGACCCGCTCTCATTCTTTGGATCATTGTCAAGATTTTCTTTGGAAAATTGTCTATGAAATGGGCCTTGCATCCCAGAGCTTCATTCATCTTGAGCTGAGTTTGTTGACACTAAGTATGTTAGACATTTAGCATGAAGTTTGCCTCTTCCTGTGGGGAAATGGCCCCGGGGAAGCCCTCTGCCTGGGTCACCCCTTCTTCCGGAACCCTCCACCCACATCCCAGAAGGCCTTACCCTTAGGGTGCTTCAGGGATATCTGAGTTTAGATGCCTTTTGCTTGACTCTGCTGGTTTTGTACCCTTCTCATCAGCTCCTGTGCTGTCCCTGCGTCCCTTCCCTCTGTCACGGTCACCCCAGGTGCCCACTGCCCAGCAGACTGCCTCTCACTAGTTGCTACAACAGCTGTTCATTGGAGGGTGTAGAGGCTGCATGCTGATAGAGCCTGGCCGCACTCACATCTGAGAATCCACATGGTAAATGATTCCCATAAGCTGCCAGTGGGATTATTTGAGTTATTAGGCACTCAGGATAGGAGATACAACAAATTACTGCCTTTTCGGCTGCTCTGTTATGATCTGTGGAGAGCTTATTTCTAGGTGTCTTCCTGGTGCTCAGTTTCATGGTGCATGGTACAGACGTTGGAAGCTGAGGGTGGAACTACCTCAAACTTGATAGACCCAATTCTGACAGTAACTTCCCATGTCAGAGCTGCACATTCCCATTTGCCCCCCATCTTCCTGTGCCAGGGCCCTACTTCCCATGTCCTTTGTCATCAGGCTGCCTGATTTCCTCTGTCCCTAACACCAAACCCCATAAACAAACATACTGTAAAAGGTTATTAAATGCGAAGTTGCCGTTCTGAGGGGGTGTCCAGTAGTCACAAAGGTAAAGCTTGGAGAGGACCCATGTGGCTAAAGGGCCAATGAGGAAATCGTGACTAGGCATTATCAAGGAGCCGTTCTTCCCACGGCTCCCTCACAGTGCAAAAAGGCAGCAGCCACACCCTCAGATGCATCTGCCTTGCTGCCTTTATCAAGAGTATTTTCCACTGAGCCTTAAAAATCCACAGAAAAGCCATATGCCCGTGACCACATGCACAGTAAGTAGACTGAGGCTCTGCGCACTGGCCTGTCTGGCTTCAAGGTTCATGCCTCTGCCCAGCCTGCATCACATTTCATGTTGAAATGGATTCTCCTGGCCACATAGAAACAGGCCCAGCCCCAGACAAGAGGAATAAAAAATACCCCTCAAACAATACACAACCTGACAGAGTTGACGGTGGAGGGAGACAGGATTTTTCTCAATCTCAATGCAAACTTAAAAGACAGCCTTGGGGGAATGTACTTTGAAAGTGGTCAAGTTGACAGAGAAATCTCATGGATTTCACCTGAGATCACTGGAAAGCTGGATTAGGACGATCATGTATTAACTCTGTCTCAGAACAGCAGACCTTCAGAAGCACCTCTGCTCAGAGAAGAAAAAATTTACCCCAATAACACCTGGGCCATTTATGGGGAAAAAACATTATAGGGCCCAACAGAACTCTCACATTTGAGAGGATTGGAACAGAAGGTTCCCCTAACTACTCAGGGGGTCAAAAGCACTTGCCAAGAACTCCTGGTGACCTGAGTTCCATCCCCAGAACCAACAGTGGAAGGAAAAAATAATGTCCTCTGAACACCATATGTATGCCATGTGCACACACATACACACATACATACACACACACACACACACACACACACACAAAGAATCATATAAATGTTTAAACTGTAAACCAGTAATAAATGCATTTTTAAGATCTCCCAAATTATTACAAAGCCATATCAAGTTCTTCCTGATGGGAAACATGATTCTCAAATGATGATGTCTTATGTCAAAACTTGTAACATAAAGTTAAAGTGATATATGCAAGAAAATGCACAGTGTTAAATGCTGACAACAGGAAGGAATAAAGGACTCACTCATCTAAGCTTCCACCTCAAACCATCAAAGGAAAAACCATGAACAAAGCAGGAGAGAGCCAATAATAAGGAAAAGAGAAAACAATGAGATAAACAAAAGCTGTGTAAACCAACTCAGCTTTTGAAAAGATAGATTTCTAGCCATACCGACCAAGGAAGACAGACAAGACATAAATTGCCAATCTTGAGAAAGAAATGAGGCAGTCTCCAGATCCTACAGAGGAAGGTAAGGAAGTGATAACTCCATATCTATATATCTGACCGCTTAGATGAAAGTGACACCCTTCTTAGAAGGCCCTAATTACCAGAGCTCATTCATAAATAACCTAAATGATATTAAAGAAATCAAATTGACAGCTAAAAACCTCCCTCCAGAGGAAATTCAGACCAGATGGTGCCACTGGTGAATTCTTTCATACATTTAAGAAGTTTGTAACAATTCTTCACAGGTCATCTCCTTCCTCAAGTGCCTGTGAAGCTCAGATAACCAACAATGGTATTTCAAATCAAGAGCTACAGACTTAAGTTCAAAAAAAAAGATGCAAAGACATAACTGAATGTTAGAAAGTTACTTGAACACTTTATCAAAAGGAAAATATATTGTAAGTGGGATTTGCCCTAGAACATCAAGATTCGTGAAGCATCAAAAGCCAAGTAGTGTAACTCCCATTAACAGTAAGATTGACAGAGTAGGGCTATGTGATTATCTTAGTAGGGTAGGAAAAACAGACAAAACTTAACACCAAGTCACAAATTACCAGCAGTTAGAATGGGAGGTAACCACTGTAATAATTGGCATCTTCAAAACCTTCACAAGTAAAACACTCAGTGTGAAAGAAGCACACCTTCCTCTGGATGAGGAGCAAGACCAGAATGACACTCTCCTGCTGCGCTGAACCTCAGGCAGGGTGGTGTTCTTTGCATACAGACTGCAGGAGCTTGTTGTCTCCAGGCAGCCCAGTTGTCTATGTAGGAAACAAGGAATTTGGAAAGGAAAGGCAAGAGACATGAGAAATTCAGTCATATTCTACTAAATAGTCCTAGATGTAGGAATTTACACCTACACATGGTACCATAAAAACTAAAATATTTGGTAATGATTTAACCAAATACAAAACCTGTGCACTGAAAATTCCAAAATATTGATGAAATAAAAATACAAAGAAAATGAAATTCTATGTTTATCAGTTAGAAGATGAAAGCGTATTAAGGAAAAAGTTTTATCCAACTAAACTATTGACACAATGCTGTTATAATTTTGTGGAAGAACAAAGAACTCAGAAAATCATTTTGAAAAGAACAAATTTGGAGGGCTTGGAGTTTGTAGTTTTATAAAGCTACGATATTCAAAACAGTTTATGAGCATGAGAAAGGCAATAGATGAGGAAAATGGAATTAACCCCCAGGATCACATACACTGACAACCAGATTTTATCAAAGGAGACAAGACAATGCAGTGGTCAAATGTTGTTCAAAACGTGATGCTGGGCCTGCCTGTATGTGGTCCATTCCAGTCCCAGCACCCACCCCCACCTGGGGGGCTGGAGGAGGAGAAACATGAGTTTGAGGCCAGCTTGGGCTACATAGCAAGCCACAATCAGAAAACAAAACAAAAACAAAACAAAACAAAAAAAACCAGAACAGTGACTCTGGCATTAAGTCCTCAGGAAATGAATGTGCTCCTCACAGCATGTCCAGAAACTGATGAAAATTGGTGATAAGCCTGAATGAGAATTCCTGTGTGACCTTGAGTTAGAAAGAATCCTAGATAAGAAAAACAAAGCAGAATAAAAGCTTTTGCCCTTAAATGCTATTGAGAAAACTAAAAGTCAGACTGAGATAAAATATTAGCAGAACATACATGTATATAGTATATACCCATAAGAAATCAAAGCATGTCCACACGATACACCTACACATGAATGCTAACAGAATTGTAGCTAAAAAATTGGGGGTAAAACTGAGTTGACTAGTTAACAAAATGTGTTATTTACATACAATAAAGTATCGACCATGAGAAGGGATGAGATTGTAACACGTGTAATGGGCTGAATGAACCTTGAAAATGATTGAACCTGTGCTAAGTGAATGACATCACCAACAGAAGACTACACACTGACTCCACGAGTGACAGGTCTAAAAGGAAGGAAATCTAGGCAGAGAGAAGGATCTGCGGCTGCCTTAGACTGGAAGCAGGGAAAGATGGTGATTAATTCCTGTGGGTACAGGTTTCCTTGGGGAATAACAAATGTTCTAGATTGTGGTGCTATTTGAGCAACTCTGTACTAACCCATATCACTGCATTACAAATGGGTCACTGTACTGCATGAACTGTACCAATAAAGCTGCTAAAACGTATGTGAATGTGTGCTAAGTATGGAGAAGACTAGAAACTATCTTCTAAACAATGGGTAAACCTTTGGAGACTTGGTAACACCAAATGTTGGCCAGGGTCTAAAGCAGCCAAACCATTTGCATGTGACTGGTGGGAATTTAACATGCCACAACCCCTCTGGAAAATTACCCATCTAATGAAGTTCAACCCCACTCCTTGAGATCCAGCCAAGATAGAGGAAAACACAGGTCCTCTTGAAGGATTGTATTAGAGTGCTCATAGCAGTCAGGATAGCCCATCCAGACTTAGTCCAAATGTCCATTGCCAATGATGGAAGAGACAGGTCTACCCATGCACTGAGTTAAATGTACAATGTGAATAAAGATGCAAAGCAGAGTGTCTGGCGGAGCAGGATGCAGGGACTATACATTTTCCAAACCTCTGAACGATTTATGTTTGCACTGGGTGAGTTTTAGCATATGCAAATTACAATAGCTCAATAAAGCCGATTCTGAAGTAGGTAAGAGACCATAGACACAAGGGAAACCCCACCTCCAGATGAAAGACGTAGCCGCTCCTGCGTGCAGGCAACATTGAATATTCCACCCCAAACCGTCTGTTCTTATTGGTTTGAAAGGAAAGAAATCAATTATACTAAAATTAATCCTTAGAAAAAAACATTCTCAGCGTAATGCTGGCTTACA